TCATCCCATGAGACTGGAGCAATGGATTCAGAGGACTGATACTCAAATTTGTCCTCTGACTTCCACATGTACACCCTGATATTTGTATACTTTCATTCACACACATACATATACCCACATGCACACACACACACACGCACACACATACACACACGCACACATTTTGTGTCTAGGCTGTGGAGCTGCCCTGTGTCTTCCTTATAGCCAGACCACCTCTCCTTGCTGGCCTCTGTCTTCCTTATAGCCAGACCACCTCTCCTTGCTGCTCTCTTCTAACACTGAGCTTGTCAAATGAGTAGGTGGTATCTCACTGTTCACTCAGCACATGCCACTGTGAGTCATCGTAGATCATTAGTGAGGTTCAGCTTAAGGATAGCACTTCACTTGACTCAATGTCAGTTTAGGCAGTGGTTTGGCCATTGACTAGAGAGGAACTCATTCCAGATATCTGACTCAAATGCGGAAGTTCATATTTTGAATCCGTTGCTTAAATCTCGTGGAAAGGTTTCTAAAATGGGATTCTTATTTCTGTACGGTGTTTAGCATCTAGACACATGTTCTGCGTCTCCTATACTGAAAATGTACTCACACTTGCGTGGGCTTTCCCCAGAGACATATATAAAGGGAAGAGGAAGGCTGCTCTTTGAGCACAGAGAATCAGCAGTGGTCAGGTGAAGGTGAAAGAAATATATGCCGTCAATCCTGCTTTGACCAGCTGCAAGATCAGGCCTAGCTGAAGGAAGTAGATATCTGGTTGTCTGGGCTTGGGGCCAAACCCCACCTTCCACAGTCTCTGCTTCTTGGTCTGGCCAGGTGTAAGCTAGCATCTTCCAGCTCCAGCCACCACGGGTTCCTGCAATAATGGATAATACCTTCCAACTGTGAGCCAAGAAAAACCCCTCCTCCTTTAAGCTGCTTAGCTACTTAGCTAAAGCAATGAGAAAACTAAAATGGTCTACATAGCGAGTTCCTGGCTAGCATGGAGAAAGGCAATTAAGGTGTTTAGATATAATCTGGTGGTCTTTGCTGATGGACTTGTCTTTAATTTCTTGTTCTCAGTTCCACCTTGTACTGTATCTGTTCCCAGTGGGTGGAGGGGGTGCCTCTTATCTCTTCTCTGGTCCTCTATAACATGCCCAGGGCAGGAGCTATCTGTTTAGTTCATTTTCCTAGTTTGCTCCCAATTTTGCTGTACTCAAAATTTGTTTTAAAAAAATTTGTTTGCTGATAATATTCCCATTGTTTTATTGGTAACATTTTTAGCTGATATTCACTTTTTATCTTGAAATAATTCTGAAATTATAGTTTTCAAAAAAAATTAGAGTTGTTATATGCATCACCCATTATTCCCTGTTTGGAAATAGTATAGAATCTGAGAATTTTTCTACCTTCCATTACTTTTGACTTATTCAAATGAGAGTTCTATTTCCTTAAATTTCTCAACATTTATTAGTAGACAGTTTCTACAATAAGGAAAAATCTGTTTCCTCTTCTTTCTATTTATTCAGTTACTTATTATACTATAAGCTTGTGATTACTTATATGATTCCACAGGTTATAATTCAATTTTAGCATTACTCCTTTTGTTCCTGGAATTATTCCAGTTTCAGACATCCAGAGCTCTTCTGCATTGGTCCATATGCCCTGTGGACATGTCCTTAGCCCCTTCTGAGCATTTCCTTGCTTTTGGTCATCACACAGTTTTCACATTCACCTCATACTTGGGGTGATATTGTCCTGGTGTTAATAATATCTTCAAGAATTGCTGTGTTCTTTTATCAGAGGTTACTATTTGAACACAATCTGCACAGTGACTGGTCCTTGTCACTGGGGGGGTGGGCATCATGGTTATTGGGAAATGTGTGATAGCGAAAGCAAACGTGCTTGCTATCTTTAACAAGAAAATCCAATTCTTGGGATAAAACATTAAATGTGTGCATTTGAGGAATTTGGTCAAGGAAAATGACACTGTTTTCCTACTCATAAGAGTTTTTCAATCTTTCACACATGGTCTTAGTCCATTACGTGTTGATATAACAGAACATCAGAAGCTAGATATTTGTTACAAGACTTAAATTTATTTAACAAATTATTCTGGAGGCTAGAAAGACCAAGACTATGGTGCTAGTGTTTGTTGTGGGCCTCAATATTGTTATTACATGGTAGAAGCAGGTACAGAACAGAGAAAAAATCTTGGTGTACTCATCCTTATGTCAGGAGCTCGCTCCCATGGTGATGGCAATGATCTATAATGTAGCAATGTCAATTAAATTTCAACATGAATTTTGGAAAGGATATTCAAACCATAGTGAGACCACAGATATTTTGAATAATGGAAATTCAGTGTTATAAATAGAAGAATTCAAAGACTTCTATGATTTTTTTTTTTTTTTTGGTGTTTTTGAGACATAAAGCTGTAGCCCCAGCTGTCCTGGAACTCACTATGTAGACCAGGCTGGCCTTGAACTCACAGAGATCCGCCTGCCTCTGCCTCCCAGGTGCTGGGATTAAAGGTGTGTGCCACCAGTTACCAAAATAAAGAGACCTGGGAACTATTAGTTCTATCAGTTTATCAGATATGTAGGCAAGAAATAGTTTTATGTCAACAACAGGACAATAAATAAGACTCAGTTTGAGACTGAACAATCTTTAAACCAAAGGAGTGTTTGCAACAAAGACAATGCATTTGAGTTCAAGTGGATGAACATTACCAATGTTACTATTTATAAGCATCTATTGAGATACGATTTTTTTTGTTTGATAGAATATTTGCAGTACATTTTGCAGCATAGCATCATAGAGATCTATTGTAATCATGCACAGTAAATTCATTTGGCAGCCACCACTTGGAAAAGATTCTAAGAATGTATCATTTTAATTGGAAGGATAATGTGGTGCTCTAGTTTCCTTTCAGTTTCTGTGACAAACACCATGACCAAAAGCACCTTGGAGAAGAAAGGTTTTGCTTCATTGCACACTTCCAGGTCATAATCCATCACTGGAGATGCCAGGAAGGAATTTAAGGCAGGAAACTAAAGGCAGGACAGCTTGCAATTCCATGCAGCATCACCTCTGACCGGGGAATTCACTGGCAGCCATAACAGCCAGCAGGAAACATGGGGGATGCTGCTTCCTAACTGGCTTACTCATGCTCAGCTATCTTTCTCATACAGCCCAGGACCACCTGCCTAGAGATGGTGCCATCCAGTGTGGACTGGGCCATCCTGCATCAATTAATAATCAAGGCAATCCCCTACAGACCTGTCCATAGACCAGTCTAATCTAGCAATTCCTCAATCAAAGGCTTTCCTCTCAGATAACTGACTCTATGTTGTGTCAAGTTGACAATTACAGCTAACTAGGTTTTATTTCCAAGAATTTTCTTAATTTTGGAGTGAATTTGCATATATGAGATTGTGTCCCCAGAGGTGGAGTTTGGTGAAATCTTTGTAAGACTGTTAATCCCAGGTTTGTGAATTCAGGAATGACCCTCACAGCAGATGCGTTGCTTGCCTCAGAAAGAAACCAAATAATTTTTCCCTATAGAGTATCTAGTACTTAGCAAACTAAAGATAGTATCTTGAGAATATATTCTTGAGTCTTTGAGAAAATTTGTTCTAATGGCTCACCAAAACATGAACATTTCATTCGTGAGTAAAGGTTAATGATTATGTATAATGCTCTCATAAAAACTAAAACGTCAGACTTGATGCTGTTGGGAAAGAATTTAATGTATTTAATGTATCTCTTCAGATAATATAACTGTACTAAAGATTTTTTGCTGAAGAAAAGCATAAGTTATACATAGTAAATAATGTTTTATTTTTGCTTAGTTTCATTAACAAGTAGTTCAGATTTATATGGTTTCCCAGCTGTTGAAAAACTATTGTTCATACACACACACACACACACACACACACACACACACACACACATGTATGTCAGCTTAGTGAATGACAGTTTATAATAGCAAAGGAGTTATTAGAAAAAATTGAATTAATTTATATCTCTAGACAAGTTGTATTTAATTATATATTTTATAAATTCAACTTCTTGTTTATGACATACAATCAATTTCCTTTATGTAAAATTAATACATGGACATAGTAGAAAATCTGGGAAAATCAAACGAAAATCAGGAAACTAATCATTCTGCTTTCTGCTACCAAAGGCTCACTCTTATAGTGCTTGTCTTAGTTATTTCATAAACAGACAGTAGAGGTCTTACTATTAAAGTTCATGATCGTGTGCAGTTTACCCATTTTATTAAACAGTTTGAAATTTGAGTTTTTATGATGCACACTGAGCTTAAGGCCGACATAAAAATTCTCTTCTGAAGTCCTGTGGCACCCATTAGTCATTCTCTCTAAAACTAGCAGGGATGAGAAGAGCCAGGGAGCTCGGAGGATCTGAGAGGTGAGTGCTGATGTGCGTGAGTAGGGCCAGGAGGGCCTCTGCCAGGGATGAGGCTGCCACATTCCTGGTGTGTCTGACCTTGGACTCACTTAACATTATAATCTGGATTCTATTAAGGGAATTTCATGTTTTTCCTTTGCAAGAGTCACCCCCTACCATGACAAATATTTTAAAAAATAATTTTTAAGTTGTAAAAGCA